ATTGGGTGCAAACTGTCAGTAATTCTAAATGTAATATATACCAGCGACAGGTATAATCAGTCAACAGATATATCACAGCTGTGCCATTAGTGCAGTACAACACGATGTTACAAGCCTGGCCCAATCTGACACTGCGCACAACATAGATACGATTGTAAAACTTGCATCAAAATGGAATACATGTATTATATTGATATAAAATACTATATAAGTAGCTCAGGATGTACATAGTCTTTCCTAGGAATTCCTGTTCCTGTACTTATTCATTTTGATAACATGAAAAACATGTTGAAAACATGTAAATTCCTTGTGGCCAAGATTGCCGTGTATAAACTCTTTTAGAAATGAATTTCATATACAGATGTGTGTCACAGTCACACCTCATTATACACGATGTAGACTCTTTACAATACGTGACAACATGGGGGCACTCTTTCTTTCATCGTCTTAAAAGCTATTTTCATATTTTCACGATAAAAATGTTTTTCTCAAAAACAGTAATTGCCTTTTCTTGTTGAAACATTTTCCTGTGCCTACAAAATACAGTAAACAACTATTCAACCGATCTTGCTGCGAAAAAGACCTCGGGCGGATCTATATAATATTGTCATATTGCGTTGTATTTCTTCTCTACACTGGTTTCAGTTCCACAAATTAAAGTTATTGTCGTTGTTAAAATTATCAATTATTCATAACTATGAGACATAGAATAAAGCCTTGGATATCTATCCGTCGATCGAGAAACTATAATTTCCCCAACTGTGCCTTCATTATTCAAATCTTCAACTAAAAGAAGGAAAGTAAACAGGTCACTATGATTTCAGATGGAAACATCTCACGATTTCGTGATAAACGAGGAGTCAGATATTGACTATTTCTTGCATTACACGGGTGATCTAGATGTCCTCATTCGATTAAATCAATAGCTTGACATGGCGATGCGCTTGTATCAGGGGAGACTGTTTATGAAATACGCCATATTTCAAGCAAATTATGATATAATGTTAATAAAACTTTATACGCAGGGTAATAAAAAAGATAAAAAAGAACAAGGTCTAAAACTGTTCATATTATTGCAGTTTGTTCGGTGATATTTAGATACTAGTATGTTAATTTAATCTATTGTAAATTGAATTTCATGACGTAAATGATGCATATAATTAAAGTAGTAGTACAAAACAAGAAATGCAATTTGTCGAATGCATGTTATAAACAAATACATTGTAATAAGGGAGACATGTTTAGAACGTAACAGAATATGTAATTCAAGGTGTAGTGATATTGCAGTACTTGTAATACAAGGTGTAATAATATTATGTTACATGTATAACTAGATGTAGTGATATTATGTTACAGGGATCACAATGTGTAGTGATATTATGTTACAGGGATCACAATGTGTAGTGATATTATGTTACAGGGATCACAATGTGTAGTGATATTATGTTACAGGGATCTCAAGGTGTAGTGATATTATGTTACAGATAACACAAGGTGTAGTGATATTATGTTACAGGGATCACAATGTGTAGTGATATTATGTTTCAGGGATCTCAAGGTGTAGTGATATTATGTTACAGATAACACAAGGTGTAGTGATATTATGTTACAGGGATCTCAAGGTGTAGTGATATTATGTTACAGATAACACACGGTGTAGTGATATTATGTTAATCACAAGGTGTAGTGATATTATGTTACAGGGATCTCAAGGTGTAATAATATTGTTACAGATAACACACGGTGTAGTGATATTATGTTACAGTTATCACAAGGTGTAGTGATATTATGTTACAGTTTTCACAAGGTGTAGTGATATTATGTTACAGGGATCACAAGGTGTAATGATATTATGTTACATGTATCACAAGGTGTAGTGATATTATGTTACATGTATCACAAGGTGTAGTGATATTATGTTACATGTATAACAAGGTGTAGTGATATTATGTTACAGGGATCACAAGGTGTAGTGATATTATGTTACATGTATAACAAGGTGTAGTGATATTATGTTACAGGGATCACAAGGTGTAGTGATATTATGTTACATGTATAACAAGGTGTAGTGATATTATGTTACAGAGATCTCAAGGTGTAATAATATTATGTTACAGATAACACAAGGTGTAATGATATTCTGATACAGGGATCACAAGGTGTAGTGATATTATGTTACAGGGATCACTAGATGTAGTGATATTATGTTACAGTTATCCCAAAGTGTAGTTATATTGTGTAACAGTTATCACAAAGTGTAGTAATATTATGTTACAGGGATCACAAGGTGAAGTGATATTATGTTACAGTTATCACAAGGTGTAGTGATATTATGTTACAGTTATCACAAGGTGTAGTGATATTATGTTACAGGGATCACAAGGTGTAGTGATATTATGTTACAGGGATCACAAGGTGTAGTGATATTATGTTACATGTATAACAAGGTGTAGTGATATTATGCTACATGTATAACAAGGTGTAGTGATATTATGTTACAGGGATCACAAGGAGTAGTGATATTATGTTACATGTATAACAAGGTGTAATGATATTATGTTACAGGTATACACATATTGTGTAGTGATATTATGTTACAGGGATTACAAGGTGTAGTGATATTATGTTATAGGTATACACATATTGTGTAGTGATATTATGTTACAAGGCCACAGGATGTAGTGATATTATGTTACAGGGATCACAAGGTGTAATGATATTATGTTACAGGGATCACAAGGTGTAGTGATATTATGTTACAGGGATCACATGGTGTTTATTGTGTAGTGATATTATGTTATTGGTATTATAAAGTGTGGTGATTTTACAGTATGGCGAGTAGAATTCATTGTGTAATGAATTTCAAGGACATGAATATAGATGTCACTATCCCTTTACACTGCATAAAAATCATACCATGTGTGCATAGTGTAACAGGTTGTGTTGTTTAATTTGATGAAATAATACCTCTTTCTTTGAAATTCTACGTAATGACACTCTTCCTACTGTCATTGGGTTGTTGGGTCAATCTAACCTAACAGACATCTGTCTGACGAAGAACTTTTTCTTTCATATAATATCAATATACTAAGTCCCCTACCGGTGGTGGAGGGACTATAGTTTCCTCTCCGTCTGTCTGTCCCTCTCAGTTTTCCAAACCTTTTCTAGACGTTTGCATAGTTCGCATTTCGTTCTGCATCGGTGGTTTTTGACAGAATTGCACCCCCTTACGCAATACTCTGAGTGCTTGTTGATGTAATGTCCACAACTTTCATATTTCTTTTCCTTATCGTGCATATTCATTTCATTGACCTTACAAAATGTTTAAAACAAATTAAAAAAAATGACTAATGATTATCTAACAGAACTCAGGAAGAACAAAGATTAAATGTTCGCACAAGTAAACCAATCGATGTAATATAAAACATTTATAATTTCCTCTTATCTGTTAAGTTAGTGTGTTGTTTTAATTTGCAGAAAATAAAACATTTACATGACAAATATTGTAAATTCTGTATCTACTGCCACCCTGTAAATTCAAAATTTACAACATGATAACACAGAGTGTTGAATCTACCTTTTTCCTCACTGTTCATACTGTATAACATGTTTTATATGTGGTATGACATTGTACCAGTGCATTCCTATAAAACTGAAATCTATTTTTTTGTTTTTGTACATTACTCAACATTCAAAAAATATTTTTTTCCTTTTTTTTTTATTAACAAATCAAACCTGTTTATTTCTAAGAATACCACGTATTTATCTTAATCACACACAAATACATGTTTTATCAGATCCCAGAATCTTATCATGGGTGTTTTCTTCAAATTTGCCAAAGTGTCAAAATCTACACCCTATAAACATATTTCTGTTTGTGATTTATACATTATCTTTGGAACATTGAACTAACGCTGTCCTCTCTTTTATACGATGTTTTTTTCAAGCATAATGTTTTGTACGAGGATGGATTAAAATTCCAATGAATATTAAGAAATTGTGTGAATGACGCTGAAACAATACAATGTCGTTTGCCAATAAAAAAAATAAGACTCAAGAGATTTTTAATCAGATTAACCGGCAGGTGAAGGTTTGTTTTTCAGTAGTTGTTTTTCTTCAGTTGGTGTTACATTTTCTTATATCTTTTACAGTTTAACGCCAGATCACATTTCTAAATATCACCAAGGAATAGGATAATACTTATTGTTCAAACGTGTAAAACAATTGTTTACAACGGATGAGTAGAAATAAGATAATAGAAAACATGATCTAAGTATTATCTCAGTTTGTTTTTTCCCCTTGTATCCTTAAGGTATAAGATATTTGATATATAGTCTTGTTTACCATAAAACCTTCTTTAGAGGGGAAAACTATACATTTGCACTATAATGTACTTTTTTTTTTTTTTTTTTTTTATCAAACCTTGAATCTTCACATTTAGGAAAACAAACTAACAATATTCATTGCAAACTTTTCATTCCCATTTTCTTGATACAATTCCGTTAAATGTTTCAAGATAGAAGGATAAATTTCTACCGGAGACAATTTCAGAAAAAATAAGAATTATAATCTAAAGAACGAAAAAAAAAATGACAAAAGAGTTCGATCGTGATGGCCCATATCATAGCATCTCCTGGGAGGCGAGATCTACTGATAGATTCTCTCCATGCAGGAATCGGAATGTATGTCAGATATATCCAAGATCTTTTTTATCTTAATTACCTTGCTTTAAGTTTAGATTTCCCAACCTATAGCGCACTTACTGTGTTGATATACATTATGCAATGAAGATTAAACATTCCGGGTCGTTATACGCTGGATCAACAGAAAGGTTACAATGTCAGTATTTAGAGGTTTTCACCTGGAATTCAAGTTTCCGGAAAGAAACTAAAATAGATATTTTAACTGAAGTATGATAAGGCTTTTATCATTTCGCAGTCGATCGGTCGCCTCATTGAAGAATGGCGAAACTTTTACTGGAGTATACATGTACATCAAGGTTTTCTTTGACTTGACTTTATTTGATAAACATTCAGCATATTTAAAAAAATAAAGAAGGTAGGTTCATACCTTTCTGTACCACTATAACATCTAATTGTCACTGGTTTAAGTATATGTATAAAGATATATCCATGTATATCATGTCATTTCAATATTCCATTTAGGAAAACAAAAACTTTAACCGGAGACGGCAAATATCCAAAAAAGTATATTAACGTCGTCAAAAATGCTATGAAAATTATTATCCATTTTCCGATAATCCAATAGTCCTGGTCAGGGATGGAGAAACGGAACCGTTGACTTTAGCACCTTCTGATACACAAGAGCTCATTTCAGTAATGGTCAGAACCACATCCGGTTTAAACTTGTCTTCTGTGTCTTCAGAAACTTTTGTAAGTTTATGTTTTGCAAATGTCACCTTTTCATGCCTTGGACTCTGGGTCATTTCTTTCCATGTCAATTTCTTGCCCTCAATCGGGGGTGGGGTAGGAGGTCGATTTGATTTGGGTCGTTGGAACAGATCGTTAGGGCATGTGTTTGCCCTTGGTCTCATTGGTAGGGTAAAATCAAGCTCAAATTCGTCCTCTATTTCATCAAGACTTAACTCTGAAGAGTCATCGTTTGTGATTTTGATGTCAGGAATAGTACTTTTGGAGTTTCGTCTTGCTTGTCTGTACTGGGACGCGTCGGAATGTGAACGCCTCCTGGAAAGGTCCGGCAAGGGAAGTAACTCCTTCTTCAGTGATGGCATAGTCTGATGTTCTTCCATCGTTTTAAATGTCACAAAAAAGTTTCACTTATAATTCCTGTTTCCAGATAAATAGATATCAACCAGACTGATTTTTAGCAGGAAGTATATAATCCATCAGACATCTTTAAAGAGACACATTTAGCACCACTGTCGTCTTCAAAACTTCAGACACTAATACTAAACGGTCACGCCATTCGCAGTTCTTAAGTGGTTAAGCAAATATATTCTATAGTCTCCGCTCTGTGTCTACCCTTTAAGTGATTTCTATTACTCTCCAAGCTCGGAATTAACTGCTCGCTGGTTCAACGGTCTGATAACAGTTGAATGTTTAGCCGCGGGATTACGATGAACGATCGATCTCTAGTACTGCCGAGGTGCGAGTATTAGGACAAAAGTATGTTTTCGACAGAACCATCTGTTTTTGTAGCGAGTTTATTTTGTCGTTTGCTATATATTGTCCTCTCTCTCTCAATATCTAGAAGGAAACAGGAAATAAATCTTGTATTTTATCACAGAACAAGAAGGAAATGGTTCAATGTATTTTCAAAATTTACACCGGAAGAATAAGTTTAGAGCCATTTTACACGGAAGTTTTAGCATAAGTGAACATGTAAATTCAGTTATATTCAGACAGTTATAAATTTATTCCCAATTTTTTTTTCCTGTCATTTTTTAATACTATTTATTTTAGTATTTAATAGTTTTTTTTTTTTTTTAAAGTGAACCACACCTCTATTTCATGCATAATTTACACACACTTAAATATATGACTTGTTTTATGCTTAATGAACGGATAATGGATAAATGGACTGGTCTCATCTTTTTTTTTTATTTTAATATAATTTGGACGCCATGGAGAGTTTTCCCAGCGAGTTTCACCATCATCTTGCTAATATCTTTATGACCATCCTTTCCATTTGCTTCGATGTTTCACTTTCGTAAATGCATCATGTTTTCCGCTAAATGATTTTTACGCGTCCTTCAACCTTTACGAAAAAGATGAGATGCGAAAGGAATGTGCTCTCGAAGATTCTTGAACATTTTTTTTACCTGAATATAAATGTTATAGTGGAATTGATAGAAACCAGCGTACATTCAATAGTCGAGTTAAAGTTATTTTACGTGTTTGAATGTATAATTTTATGTATTTATTTGCCAAAATAATTTTGTCAGTAATAACCAATTCGGTATAAAATCCGAACTAACATCGTGATTTTCCTCTAAAATCTGTAATGACTCAGTGGGCTTGCTTCATAAACATATCTTAGAACAACGCCATACGAAAAGTAAACATAAGACATCGGAAACTTGACCTTGAAACTTTTAATAATTTTCACTCAAGTAATTTTCCTTGATGTAAACAGGTGGATTTATAGTTGATTGGTTGCAAAATTATGAACACACAAGCACGGGAACTTAATGCACTTAAACTATTGAGATTAAGCATTAAACTTAAATATCGACTTTTCCTTTTAAATGATGTCACTGCCTTGATCTTATGAAAACACTCTATTAAAAAGGTCTTATTGAAGCAATAAAGTGGCTAAGATCTATGATGCGTTTAGTAGCATTAAAAACAGATAGATCTGTATAAATCATTGGATTGAAGTATTCTTTTTGATTTTTCCACTTTCATTTCTAAAAGGCATTTATATCCATGTATCAATGTAGATGGCATACATGCACGTACCTTATTTTTACCTCACACAGCACTCAGCAAGAGATATGTACAGTGTGTAATCACCCGAGGGAGAAATTTCGCGATTCCAGCGTCAAAAGTGAAAGTTTACGACAGTTATAGGTGTATCACAAAATAAGATGTACACAATTTATGTACAAAATTTAACTGTGTAGCACTTGACCTTTCAGTCTTGCATTGTTAGTTGCCAGAAGAAAACAAAAACTACTAATTTCATGGTCATGGGTCAATATTAAAGGCATTGGCGACAAGATCGTTATTTAGAAATGCAAGGTGGGGAAGAAAATTGAAAAAAAAAAAAACAACAGTGAATGAATTTATATATTTATATAGACATCATGCAGTTAAATCGATTCACTTTGTAAGAAACTGTTTCATGAAAAGCACCACATTGGAAGGGGATGTTTTGCCTTAAAGACATCACATTGCAAGAGGGCCCTTCACAACATGTTGCACTTAATTTTTCATACATTTTGTGCATAAAAACGCAAAGCAACTCCTACGCATAAAATCATGAAGTCATTAACGTATATATATTTAATTTCAGTGTCATTCTTTCTTATCCACTCAAAGAATTCAACAAAATTTAATTCTGTTTTATTTGTTCAGAGCTCCAAATAAGTCGTTACATGTCATCATCAAGTATCACGTCTTCATTGTAGGGTTTAAATCAATTTGTTTGCATTTCAAAGCATTTTTTTTCAAATTTTATAAATATATTATACTTAGTCAATATTTTCAATCTGGAACATTTCTGACAGTGTTTTATTTTTATTTTTTATTCATTTCTACAAAATTATTTGATGAATATTAATAAAAACGTGTAATACGGTTGAGGAAAAAAAACCCTCTGAGTTCCCCCTTTTAATTTTTTCTGAAAAGTACATCAATCAATCTTAGTACTGGTGCATCATATTACGTTTTTTTTTTCTAAAACAACCACGCCTCGTTTGAAATAACAGATTATTAGAAATGTTGAGAAATTAAAGTACAACTTTCTCTATATTAAAGGCAGTATATCAGAAAGATGTTGGCTTTCCATCATCGTCCTTGACCATATAAAGTAACACATATGCCTGTGTAATATATACGTATGCTGAAAATTTAGGATAAGTGTCAGCTGCTCTTCTCAAAAATTCTCAAATGCAGTGGCGGATTTCGGGGGGGGGGGCGCCCAGGGCGCCCGCCCCCTAAAACTGTCAGTTAGCGTAAATCATAGTTTCGTCGAGAAAATGTAAAAATGTCTACTCGGTAGACCTCATTTTTAACCTACAAAATCTCTAGAATCCAGGAGGGGGCGAAGCACTCAAGGCGGCCCCCAGACCCCCTGCCTACTTTTTGCTCCCCCCTAACTTCAATTCCTGGATCCGCGCCTGAGATGACAATGATTTCTGATATTTTTAATTTCGGCAAACTGGCCAGCGGCAGTTATACCCAGATGAAGGAGCTAATGGCTGACGATGTGTTACTTCCTTGACAGATTTCCAATGAACATCGACAGCGTTACTGATGATTAATAAACTCGACTCTGCCCAGATGATCAAATTGATCGGTGTACTTTGTATCGATTTGTAGTATCTAATTGTAATTAAATGTTTGATCAATGCCGTAAAATAAAAAAAAGTTTCAGTATGAAAGTAGACAATTCCATCCTCTGCCGGTGAATTCACTGAAATTTTGCCATCTATATTTTCTTAAGAACATAAAAAATCAGATGGAGTGTTTAGGACGATCTGCCAATATCATATAATTTTCAAACCTCGCCGTCTGCTTATAGATTTTGGATGTAACACTATACTTATCAAGATTAGTATTGTTGAAGCAATATAAAAAAGAACAAATCGTGCCATCAAAGCATTATCAAGGGAATACGAGCACAATTTGCAAAACAGTGTCATTTTTTACCAAATTTGAGTGTTTTATGGTTGTACAGATAAGAGTTGGAATTATAACCCATGTTTATTTACCTTAAAATCACATTATTTGAAGATTCGAAAAGCTTTATCTAGATTTATGGCACTGGGTATTAGAATTTCCCTATAACTGCTGCTGTCAAGATAAAGTCTATTGATTTGCATAAAACCTGCAGCATTGTCTCTAAATGTGCTTAACTATTATTCCTTTACAACAAAGTTCCATAGGGATATGTCAATTGGTCTGTGACTCTGCGTGCGAGTTCTGTCTGAGTCCCCAACAGTTTTGTGGACACGATTTGATTTTTCCGTCTCAAACCCACTGGAAAGGTGATAGGTGACAAGAAAGAGGGTCAAAAGTCAAAGGTTAAGGTCATACTTACAGCTAGTCCGCAACAGCGCTGTAGATACGGTCACTAAGGTCTGCCTCAGTATTGCTGCTGAGGTGGGAGGTGACCAGAGAAACACATGCACTCATTCATTTGAGAATCTAAAGGTCGAAGAGCAAGGTCAAAATTACCGTCAATCTAAAATGTGTAGACTACCTTGGTCATAATTACAGCAGATGTGGCTGGTTACAATGGATATATGCTCATTTATTTTGAGAGACAAGTAATTAGTAAATATCTTCTAACAATGTGTAGAATAGCGTTTGATCGATATTAGACTCAGTTTTGTTACGGAAAGGGGGAGTGGGGTGGAGATCCAAAGGTCAAGGACAAAGTTACTGTTAGTCCCTAGTCCCTGAAAGGTGTTGTGGTTGAAATGTGAATTGATAAAGAACAGTGATCATTCTCAAAAGTCAATTTAAGGGGGCCGACTGGGGTTTTCATTGCGCAATACTTCGCGCAGCATAGTAAAATAAAGCGTATTTACTCTTTTAAAGCAACTAGTTTTACATAATTTATAAAAAATAACAAATTTAGGAAATATGAGGTCAAAAAATCTAATTACGTTTTTAATTAACTGATTTTTTTAACGATTTTTCAAATGATGGGTAGAAAGACGTCGTAATAGTGTGTTTTTGACGTTATGAATAACCGAAGTTCTTTAAGCGGGGTCATTAATTATGCCATAAAATAAAAAGTATAAAATGTATGCTCTTGGAATTTTAAACATAGGAAATTGAGAATATAGCAATAATTGTTACTATTTTTTTTATGTAAATCTGTGGTATCTGTCATGTTTTGTTTTACTCCATAAAAACAGGAAAATATCATGAATTTTGACATTTTGAGATGCCCCCTCTGGAAACCAGACGGTAGAATTTTGTGTTTCTTGCACAAAATGTACAATATAGTATTACCCATCAAATAATAAAATTTGAGCGAAAAGTCTATAGTAGTATTTTTATAATTTGCTCCGAAGTGCGAAAAAATGGTATTTTCCTATATAATCCTATAGTAAATGTACCCGTATTTTGAGACGGTCCCTGAAAAATAACCAGACGGTAGATTTTCACTAAACGTGGCATGTATACTGAAGTCAATGTAAGGTATATAGGGTAAAAAATTAAAGAGTTTCTCTATAGTAGTTTTCACACAATAAAAACCCCAGTCGGCTCCCTTAAACAATACAAATATGAGCAAAGCCAACACGAACCTCTGAAAAAGAGTACTTACAGGTATATCAAAATACCATTTGACATTTCCTTTTCCCACTATATGGTAAGGGACCAGAGAGAATGTTGTGAAAAATGATCCATGAGTTGGTAACATTATTGTGGTCACGATACGTAAAATACCATATCAGTTACAAGCGTGCGACAGAGGTCGTATATGGGAAGGGGAACAGGATACAAGCTTGCGACAGAGGT